ACTACATGTTAACAGTTATCATGTGTAGAGTACTGTTAGAATCAACAGGATGTCACTACATGTTAACGGTTATCATGTGTAGAGTACTGTTAGAAACAGCAGGATGTCTCTACCATGTTAACAGTTATCAAGTGTAGAGTACTGTTAGAAACAGCAGAATGTCACTACATGTTAACGGTTATCAAGTGTAGAGTACTGTTAGAAACAGCAGAATGTCACTACATGTTAACGGTTATCATGTGTAGAGTACTGTTAGAAACAGCAGAATGTCTCTACCATGTTAACAGTTATCAAGTGTAGAGTACTGTTAGAAACAGCAGAATGTCTCTACCATGTTAACAGTTATGAAGTGTAGAGTACTGTTAGAAACAGCAGGATGTCTCTACATGTTAACAGTTATCAAGTGTAGAGTACTGTTAGAAACAACAGGATGTCACTACATGTTAACAGTTATCAAGTGTAGAGTACTGTTAGAAACAGCAGGATGTCACTACCATGTTAACAGTTATCAAGTGTAGAGTACTGTTAGAAACAGCAGGATGTCACTACCATGTCAACAGTCGTGTGTGATATCCTATTGTTGATCTGGCACCAGTTTGTTTAATGGATGAGTTGGTGTTCAGATGTTGTCCTATTTAAAAATTTAAACTATATATTTTGTATTACAGAAAGTTATGTTATAATGAATATATAAAAACTTATGATGTGATAGTTTTGAAATGTTCAAATTACTTGAATGGTTGAAACGGCTAACTTCTTTTCTAGTCATTTTTGTACGAGTTACCATGTAATAAAGATCTTTACAGAGTATCTGATGGGATAGACATTGTGTACCGAATGTGAGTCAAGACAAAACATCAGTAACTCTGTAATTATACCTTTCAAGTAACCATTGTACTAATTCACCACAAAATAATTTCATACTTAATAATGCATTTATGAACTTTCTTTTTATCTTAAAGTTTCACATACCATGATGAGACGTAAAGTAACATTTCTGTTATCTTTATATTTGTAGAAAACTTTGGAATTGTGTATTTTCATAGTTTTTTTAATTCAGCTACATTTCAGTATAATCAAGGTTTTAATGTTTTCTGATTTGATGTATTTTGTTAAAGAAAGAAAGTATTAGGTATTCTTTTATGTAGTGAAAATAATAGCTTTTTTTTGTAAAGTTGTACTAAAACAAAATAGGAGCATGCCTTGAATGTTAAAGTGTGAAGTTTGATAAACAGTGTTATGCTCTGACAGTCCAGCATGTTAAAGTGTGAAGCTTGATAAACACTGTTATGCTCTGACAGTCCAGCATGTTAAAGTGTGAAGTTTGATAAACAGTGTTATGCTCTGACAGTCCAGCTTGTTAAAGTGTGAAGTTTGATAAACACTGTTATGCTCTGACAGTCCAGCATGTTAAAGTGTGAAGTTTGATAAACAGTGTTATGCTCTGACAGTCCAGCATGTTAAAGTGTGAAGTTTGATAAACAGTGTTATGCTCTGACAGTCCAGCATGTTAAAGTGTGAAAATTGGTTTTATTATGTTTCTCCACATGCTGTAGATTTGTTTACCACACGTACACTGTAGTGGAACTGGTTGTAGTTTTAACTGTTTAAATTAATTTTTTATTTGGGCTGCATTTTTTATCCATTTAATTTTTGTGCACAATGATGTAGAAATTGTGAGGTTTAGGAGAATGTGTAACTTTTTCACTGAGTTAATTTTAACCACAAGTGTGTTCCAGAAATAAATTAATAACCATTATTTTGTCTGTTATTGGTATCAGTTAGAGGTGTTATGTAAAAAAGGTTCGTACAGTCTAGTCAATAACCAACAGAAGCTTTTTCTAAAGTGTTGTCTTCTTATGTTTTGATTAAGGTTTTATTCAATCAATATTTAAGTCACCTTTGTGAGATGAAACCTGAAGTGATGTCTTGTTTTGGAGGTCTTGAAATAAAATAATCATAAGGTAAGAAAACTATTGTGTGTGTGTGTAGGTTAATGGCAACATGTTGAAGCATAATGCTACCTTTGTGAATAGGTAATATCCTTGTATCTTCAGAATTTAAAGTGATATTTTTAAACGTGAAACCCACTTTTGTATATTTACTTCAGATAAAATATTCAATCTAAAAAAAAGACTCATAAATTAACATAAATATGTATTTACTGCAAATAAAATGGAAAGTTTTAAGCCTCATTAACTACCGTGACACTACTTATATATTTGCTACTGGAAAACAATATGCTGAACATTTACAGGATGTCTTGTTTATTGGAAGCAAGACCATTTTTATGTGAAATCTTTTATGTACAGACTTTAAATATGTGTCTGGGTTTTAATATTTTGAACATGCAACTGTTGTTGTTTAGTTTTGTGAGTGAAGTGTACTTGCATTCTGATGTAGGTTAAACAATTATCACTTTATATTAACCTTTTACTGAAACATTGATATGGTACAATGAATATAAGTAATCTATTGTCTTTAATTAAGTTAGATAGAAATGTTGATACAAACTATGGTATTCACTAAACTCGGATTCTGGAAATGTTATACAGACAAAAATTAAATAAGGGCAGGAAAAGGAATATGAACAAACTAAAAATCTTTATTTACTAAACTGTGGTTTACTGATTGCAGAATTCTTTTTTTTAATACTCAAACAGGTTTTTCAACACAATCTAGTCTACTTTGTCTAATAAAAAAAAAAAAAACTTTTCCAAAACAAATGCATGTATGAGCTCTAGCTTGAAATTTAAGAACAAATGTTTTAGCACATAAATTTGTTCTTTTACATAGATAAGTTGTGTGCTAAAATCTTTGTTCTTAGTACTTGTTTTTCACCTTTGATTTAGAAGAACGTCATGACTACATGCAGAACCACTGGAAATTTATGAAAATACACATGAATAAAGGTATATTCTAATCTATCTTAGGAAAATGTGCACTGAAAAATAATGGAATTATTGAAAGATGCTGAAATTATTTCACATATAATTATATCCTTCAAGGAGAAGTATGTATTGAAGGTTCAAGTGTGGCCCCACTGATTAGTGTGTCTGACTATAAACTGGATACTCGTTTGCATCCTGTTACTGATTTTTTTTTTTAATGGAGCTCTAAATCACTTTGGGGCTTTGAGTGTGTTAGAAGGGTGACAGGCAAATTTCACTATTCAGTGATACAAGAGTTGGTGGTAGTTGTTGTTGACTAGCTGCTATTCCTCTAGTATGCCAGTTAAAAAATTAGGGACCACTAACGAAGATATCTTGAGCAGCTTTGCATGAATATCCGATAACAATCAAACAAAAAAGTAAATGAAAAACAGTAATATTCCTTTAAAGGGTTTGTATAAAAGTTACTATACAGTTGATACTAAGAAAAATTACAAAGACAATTGAAACCAAATTAATGAATTTTTCTTTTAGAGTAACAGTTAGTAGTTAAAGTAGGAAACAACTGTATTGTCACTTTTGTCCCACCCTGTATATTTTTCCAAAGAGATATTCTTTGAGAAGGAACTACTTATTGAAAAACACAAAGTATAAAATGTAAGATAAAGAAATCTTTCATGTCATACAATGAGCTTGAAACATATACTGTTATAATTAATTAATACTTGCATTAAACACTTGAAACATGACATTATATCCTGGGACTTAATACTAGTCTAATTCATTAATTAATACTCACACTATAAGCTTGAAATATGATATAGTATGTTTACTGAAGTATACAAACAGCTGAAAAATGTAGATTAGGTTATATATGAGTGTAAATAATAAGAATTTGTCCTTAGAGTGATTTAAAGGTATCCAGAAATATTACATTAAGTAATCCAACTAGAATGATAGTCACAAGTTAAGAACGTGTACAGACAGGTATCTTAGATTCTGTCATTTCTTATCCATGTGCTTTCAGCTAAGTTAAAAATCATAACCTTGATACTTTTTAAACAGTTAAAAATTTACAAATCTCCAACTATACATTAAATATTTATAGTATTTGTACAATACTATATAGAATTTATAAAGTATTACCAGTATTTTTTTTTAACTGTGAAAATGTCAAATAATACACTGATGTATTTGTTGTGGTAAATTAATACACAAAATGCAAAAATTATACCAAGTTTACAAGAATATCACACATGGAGCTACATATAAATTTAACACTCTTCAAGCAGATGGATAAATGATGAACAATATTCATTAACTGGCCTACATGATAACACTAGTCATATCACATATACAAATCACTAACCTAGGCAACATGATAACACTAGACATAGTCACATGTACACTTCATTAACGTGGGCAACATGATAACACTAGTCACATCATCAAAAGGGGCTACATGATAACACTAGTCATATCACATGTACACATCATCAACCTGGAAACATGATAACACTAGTCACATCACATGTACACATCATCAACCTGGAAACATGATAATACTAATCACATCACGTGTACACATCATCAAAAAGGGCTACACTAGTCATAGTCACATGTACACTTCATTAATGTGGGCAACATGATAACACCAGTCACATCACATGTACACTTCATTAATGTGGTCAACATGATAACACTAGTCACATCACGTGTACACTTCATTAATGTTTGGAATATCTCACAATGTATTAAACCATTTCTTCTCTATTTTACTCCTACACACTTTACATATGTCAGTTGATATGCCTAACAACTTGAATAGATCACAAGATTCTTATAAAATAGTTTCTGTAATCTTTATAGTAAATATATTAGCATTTTTAGTTTTTAAAAAGTTATTTATGTAACTTAGTAAAGATACAACAACCTTAATAAAAACATTTAATTTATATAAAATGTGTTATGTGCATTAATATTAAATGTGGATCACCAATACTAGTAATAAGTATCTAAAACAAGTTAATGAACTGTACATGTGACTAGTGTTATTTGTAGCCCAGGTTGATGAATTGTACATGTGACTAGAACTTTCTGTAGCTTAGGTAAATGATGTGTATATGTGACTAGTGTTATCATGTAGGTTGATGAATTGGTGAAGGTGTCAGGATTAGTTGATAAGAAACATGTTGTTGATGGTGTGTCAAGATTAGTTGATAAGATATTCCTACAGACTTCAGTATTTACATATGTCAGTTGTTGATGGTGTGTCAGGATTAGTTGATAAGAAACATGCATGTTTCTTATCAACTAATCCTGACACACCATCAACAACATGTTTCTTAACAACTAATCCTGACACACCATCAACATGTTTCTTATCAACTAATCCTGACACACCATCACCAACATGTTTCTTATCAACTAATCCTGACACCTTCACCAACATGTTTCTTATCAACTAATCCTGACACACCATCAACAACATGTTTCTTATCAAATAATCCTGACACACCATCAACAACATGTTTCTTATCAAATAATCCTGACACACCATCAACATGTTTCTTATCAAATAATCCTGACACACCATCAACAACATGTTTCTTATCAACTAATCCTGACACACCATCAACAACATGTTTCTTATCAAATAATCCGGACACACCCTCAACAACATGTTTCTTATCAACTAATCCTGACACACCATCAACAACATGTTTCTTATCAACTAATCCTGACACACGATCACCAACATGTTTCTTAACAACTAATCCTATCACACCCTCAATAACATGTTTCTTAACAACTAATCCTGACACACCATCACCAACATGTTTCTTAACAACTAATCCTGACACACCCTCAACAACATGTTTCTTATCAATTACCTCTCACACACCCTCACCAACATGTTTAACAATTCAGGTTTTCTAAAGTTTTTCTTTACATTTTATGAAGTTTTTTACAATAGGAAGTGCATCATTCTTTAATATCATTTAAACAATCTTTATCATAACTTAAACTATTTGACTAGTACAATATTGAATAGATAAATATCTGAGAAAATTCTGCAGGTAGAAAGATATATATATATATATATAACTTGTCATATGAATAGTGCTTTTTTTGCCTAAAGGAAAAGACAAACATCAATATACAACATAATATCCTTAATTTCTTAAGAATGCAATGTAAAACTTCTGTACAATATTTTCTTCAACAGAATAAAAGGTATAAAAACAGTTGTGATGAGTTCAAATGTTGTAGAACATGTCAGATTAAGTAGGTGGATTGATCTTCAGGCCCTCTGAGATATGTAGCCTTCATTTCCCTCAAATGCACATCCAGAAAGTTGATGATACTGAAAATTTAGTGGAAGAAGAAAAAACACTGATAAAACATATATTACTTATTATAAACCTATTTCATACCAATTCCCTAAAAACCTCAAAATAGAAAAAAAAAACGTATAAACCTTGTGTACCAACAGGGTATTTATAAACTTTTTTACATTTCTACCAACACAGTGTAAACTCAATGAATGTACAGGGAATTTATTAACTTGTTTACATTAAAGTACTTACAAGGTATGTATTATCTTGTTTACATTTCTATTAAGTGTAAACCCAAAGTACTTACAGGGTATTTACTTACGTTTTTACAATTCTATCAACACAGTGTAAACTCAATGAATGTACAATGTATCTACCATAGCAGAGAGATAACACAACATAACTAGATTTTATACTGCTATCTACACACACAGCGGAGAGATAACACAACATAACTAGATTCTTGTACTGCTATCCACACACATAGCGGAGCAATAACACAACATAACTAGATTCATATACTGCTATCTACACACACATAGTGGAGCAATAACACAACATAACTAGATTCATATACTGCTATCTACACACACATAGTGGAGCAATAAC